CCCCAAAACCCCAAAACCCCAAAACCCCAAAACCCCAAAACCCCTGATTAAAATTTAGATGTTGAAACTGGTGTTTTGATTACAAATCCTGATCATGGGTCTCCCCCAATTTCTTAATTCAAGTTTCAGCATGTCTGGCAGGGGATTTTAATTCTGGGACAACTTTGAGGTTTTGAAAAGACCGTACTGCTGGACTTCCTCTTCCTTCATGTTTTTGAAATAGCTGTCAAAATAATGCTTGAGAGTCTCTTGGTACTCCTTGTTCTCACGGTTTATCCTTTGGAAATAGTTTTCTGGCTTTGATGTAGGGAATGATGTTATTGTGTTTCTATACTTTATCAAAAATTTTGAATATATACGTTTTTATAATGCAGTCTCATCAATACTTTTCGAGTTGATATCACTACCTAAATTTTCAAGCTTTGCAGCATCAGGCATGATACTATTCACAGGCTTCTGATCAATGAGCGACAGAGTTTGTGATTCCGGTTGTGATTTATCTTGATCTAAAAAAATGAAAAATAGAGATACTCTTATAAACTTTTCCAGATATACGCTTCTCAAGCATTTCTTGGTAATCCAGGAGCACTTGATACTTCTCTATAAAGGCATCCTAGAGTATGAGTCGCTCGAACCGTACCTTTTTATTTTCAAATGTGGGGTAGAAAGATGCTGTGTCTATCCAAGGAGTGTTCTCCCTGTTCATTACTCTAAAGGTATGCTCTTTTTGTGAATATCAGTTCTTTTTCAAGTCTTTAAGATGAGTCACTGCATTGCTTAGTTTATATTTAGACTTTTTATTTTGGCAAGGGTTCTTTTGACTTTATGTTAGCTTGACTTTTGTGTCTTTTAGACATGCTCTTGATCTCTTCGTTGAGATCCTTGTCACTAAGACATAACAATACATTCTTGTTTGGAACAAGGAACCAATTTTTGTTCCCTCTAAGGTGAGCAGTTGGGTCAAACTTCTTCTTCCCCTTCCGAGAGGTGTTTTGGGCAAGCAGGTCAGATGATGATTTGCCCTTCCAGATATCCTTCCTATTCCTAAGTTCAGGAAGGTAAATTGGAGGCTTCTTTAAGTTTCGTAGTTGTATATTTTCAATTGAAGAATTCGAAGAAGTCAGTCCTTTATATGACGGTTTGCTCTTCCTGTTCTTTCCGAACAGGACAATAGCTTTTTGTTCATCAGTTGGTTCTATTGGGTTAGCTTGGTAGGGAGATACCTTTAGATGCCTTTACAGAAGTAAGGAATGTTCCTTCGTCATCTCTTTTAATTACTATAATCGGGTGAAGAAGAAGCAAGTACAATCGGTGTCTGAAGAATTATCGAATTTCCTCGTCGGCAGCTTTATTTTCGTCTGAATTCTTGTCTTTCCATGATGCTTGGCTATTTTTATAAGAAATAAATTACTTTGGGAAGTTTTACTTGAATCGTTCAGAATTGAGCTGAGGGATGAAGATATCTCAAGCTTTTTATTTGCTTCCATCTTTTGAAAATATATAAATAACAATTTTATTTTTGTAAATGGGGTTTTGGGGTTTTGGGGTTTTGGGGTTTTGGGGTTTTGGGG